AATAACTTCTTGATAATGTATGATGAACTTAACTTTATATGCTCAGTTTTACAATAGTCTTGCCTCGGATGTACTTTTCTTAGGTGCTCTGTGTAGCTTGAATAGGTTACTAACACACCAAAAGCACACACACAATTTTTCTCTCAGAAACACATCCACATATTTGGCTACTTCAGGGTCAATGTCCCCTGAACAAAACAGCAAAAGTATTAATAATTACAAAATTAAAATGTCATACTAAACCTGATTTTACTCTTCATTCTAAATTTGTGCACTTGCTGAGGTCTTGTTCAAAATGACTCCTCTACCTTGTCATCTTGGCATTTATGCATATGCTACTTCTTTTCCTGAGCGTCTGCTTTTACAGACACCACCTAGCGGCCCTATGAAATCAAGCCTTTCAGAGGAACTCCCCGGGGAAATCTATCTTAATAAAAATGGAAAGTAGAAAAAATATTAGAACATTTCCAATTCTAAGGACCTGAAAGTTGTTTGGAAGTTATCTCTAGATTAAATTTGCATAATTTGTGAACTTGCACAGGCCCGTCCTCACTTTCCTGAAATTTTTGAGGTTCGTCAGATGTTTGATATTCAAGATTTCACTGAATTTTGAAAGGTAATGTGGATACATACTTTGTATTAATACATCTTCAATCTCCAATCAAATGCATTGAAACTTCTGTGACATTCATTTTAAAGTGGGATAGACCACAAATAGCCTGTTATCAACTTAGGTTGGGTTTATTCACAAATGACTTATAGAAAACTTTCTATTTTAGAGATTTTAAAAACGTAAAGATTTGCAGGCCTATTTTACCCTAAAAAAAAGGAATCCATCCCAGAGAAAGAGTAAAGTGTGACATTTGGTGACAATATAAGCTTATCTGTGAGGAAGCTACACAGTCCATACACACACACCACACAAACCTGAGAATTATGAAATCCCAAAATGAATCTTGCAATTTACAATCATATAAAGAAATTGTCATTAATTACATTTAGATATGCCACATTTGAAGACTGCTTTGAAAACCAGCAGTGTGGGGAACACAATTTATGAGTTCCATGGCACATACAAAACATTGTCTTTATTTATGGGATTTGCTATGTCCCCATTCTACACAGCCGTGTTCACGAAGGAATGTTCTGGTAGCCGCAGCTCAGTCTGTGTCCCTGGTAGATCTCTTAGGAGTACTCTTTGTCAAGCCTTCTCACGTGAACTATAAATCAACAGGAAATTCGCACTAGGAATCTGGAGAAAAGGAGTCTGTAGATGCCTCATTTGCAAGAACCTAAATCTGACTCCCAGAAGCCATGTTCACAAAGAAAAAAGAAGCCAGGGTTCGTAGCACATGCTTGTAATTCCAATGCTGAGGAACATTACTAGGTCAATGAGATAATTTTGTCTAAAAATAAAATAGAATAATATATTCCTCTCTCTATATATATATATAGAAAAAAATTAAAGTGAATGATGCTTGGCGAACATCCCTGTGATCAGGGACAGACTATGCTAAGTCACTTCATTTTGCTACTTTTAGTTGACCACCTTTTAAAGAGACTTCACATGTATTTCTGTAGTACTCATCAATTAACTCATCGAATCCCTTATCAATCTGAATGTACAATTTAGTATCTCACTATAAGTTTTTATAGAAAACTTTAATATAAACAAAGTGTTTAGCAATTTTTCATTTATTATTAATGTCTAGCACATGCTTATACAGGGTCGTAACTTGTATAATCAGAGACTCCAAGAAGCTGATAGAGCCTAGCCCCACAGATGTTCCTTTTCATCCCCTGGAAGAGACACCCAGACTTAGCATTACTCCACTGACTGTTCTTCAGGAAAGGGAGAAAGTCAAAAGACACGCTTTTTCCTGCAAGCCTAAGTGAAAAGGTGAGGGGAGAATGAGACTAGAAGGCACAAAGAAAACTTCCTCTTGCACACTCAACAGACTGTGGCCTCCAGGTAAAGGCGTCGTAACACCACCGCATGCCATATGCTGTTTGATCAGGAAAGACCTGGGATATGCCCATCATCTTTACGAAACCATTACACAGCTATTCACAGTCACTGAAAGCTTGGTACATTTGTGGTTAGCCATTTTCATTCCAAAAGACTGTCCAGTAACTGAAATATCCAGCCTTAAGTCTTGATATGGAAAGGACAAGAGACACCAAACTTAAAGATCAGTTTCCTGTCCGCACAGCTAAATTTCAATGGCTCCTCTTCAAAAGCAAGCACCTAGGATATGGTAAGAATTTGAGCAGGAGTTATTGGAAAGCTACAGCTACTGAGCAAACTGAAACATGACGTAAAAACTACTCAAATTGGTCTAGAAGACACTCAGCAACATTAAAAATCTAGGACTAACAGAATCAGCTGCAAAATCAGGACACGAAATCTTGATGCTAATATAACAAATGGGAAAAAAAAAAACTGAAGGAGTGAAAACAAGCATAAGGCTCTGTGGGCCACAGGAACAGCAGTGAGTGCAAAGGGTAGATGAGATGCAGTCTCCCTCGTCTTCTTTTACCATAATTGTCTGTGTTCAACATCTTTGCACAGTTTCTACTGCCTGCTTCAGCTGAAGTCCTCTGACAGACAAGTCAAGGAAGGAGGATCTTGGTATTGTTGTAATTGGTTATTATTTACTATTGTTTTATCTTCTAGTAAAGCTTGCTGCTACTCTTAAACAGCTGTATAACCAAATCACCACACAGAGACTGGGTTTTTAGTTAACCTAGAACACAATGCTAGGCAATACTTACTCCCTCCTAAACCTCCATGTTTATTCTGTTCTGCATGTTTTTGAATTTCTTGTTTTATGTCCTGTTTCCAACCTTCATTTTTTCTTCTATATGTTTGGAACAACCTGCATTGCACATTCTGGTGTGACTTTACCGATGCCTGTTAGGAGTTCGAGTTCGGGGACAAACTGTCTATGTCACCTACGTGTCACTAGATCCCCACGGCCTCAGCTCCTCCAGCACCTCTCACGGCGTGTAGTCGCGTCACTCAGGTGGCTTCTGCTTTTCTCGCCATAGCAATGGAAATAAGCAAAAGCATCCCACTCTGAAAAGTTGTGTGGTTTAGTTAGGCACTGAGAATAGCGACTGGCATTCATGTTCAAGGTTCAAAACACATCACTATCACATTAACTACTAGCAAATCCCATGCAAATGCCAATAAAGTCCCCTCCCCCTAGATAAAGCTATAGCAACCTGGTGAACCATCAAAGATGCTCAAAAATAACAGGGGAATTCAATGAAGCCTAACAAAGGCGCAGCAGGCTCCCTGTGTGACCTCAGAAATGAAAATAAGAAAGCCAGTGTGGGAGAGACCCTGCTGTCTCAGCCAACTCATAACCAATGCTGTCTCCTAAACATGTCCCGGAAATAGGACACACACATACCACTTTTCTGAATTATAAGATGTCAATAACATGGACACATTTTAGCATAATAGAACATTTAATTGCACATTAATTCCCATCAATCATCAGACTCTGTGATCACATTGGCCACTTCCACTGGTTGGCAGGAGGCTCTTCCACCAATGGCTCCCATGGCTTCCACTGCAACATTTTTCTTGCCAGACTTAGTTCCTTTTCAGCCTATTAAAAAAAACAAAATTTTAAAAGAGGATCACTTGATTGATTATTCAAGACGTATTTTCAAAGTAATGGCTGGAAGTTAACTATTAGAACTCAGACTTTCATAATCAGGGTTCCAGAGCCATGATGTACCCACCAGCGAACACTGAGTGTTACATAATCAAAGTTTCACAGCCACACAGTCACCGCTAGGAAAGGTTACCTCTGATTCTGAAACTGAGCTCTGCAGGAATCAGTGTTCACAAGTTCTTAGAGACGTAAAGCCTGTCCTTCATCCACATCAGGGGCTTTCAAATTTCACCCAAGGCCTCACTTAGCCAGGGCTGCAGGTCAAGACCAGCACTGGGTGCCCAAACACTAAGCGTTCAAATGCTCTTTACCTGAAGAATCACCTCTTCTACTTCACCACCCTGAAGCATGTCTTCTAACTTTTTAACATCCGGTTCCTACAATTTCAAGGAGAAAAGAAAAAAGTAAACACAGAAGCACAACATCTGAATATTTCAATATCCTACAAGTTAAAAAACCCATATATATAAAAGCCCTTACAACAACTTAGTTTTTTTCTCACTGTAGTCTTCATTTTTTTTAACCAAAGTTTGATGGAAATTCACTACACTTCTCTGCTACTCCGTCTTAATATTAAAAAACTACTAAATATTGACATACTTAACAAAGGGAGGACATAAGCTACACAATTTAGTCTTTCTAAAATAGATTTCCAAATATTTTATTTTTGTAAATATTTTCTATACCTCCTGTAAAAGAATTAACAATAAATGTTATCATATGGCCAAAGAACTCCTCTTCTCTGTATATATATATTAAATAATGCATCATGAACAAATAATATGAAAATGTCACAGCAGCCACAAATTATAGCCCCAAACTAGAAATAACCTAAATTACCACCATCAATAGAGCTGATGTGTCAATTATGGTACTGAAATATAATATAATACTATATGGCAATGATAAGAAACAAATTATAACTATATGCAACAACTCAGATGATTCCCTCAAATACACTATTAAGTACAAAAAACCAGACATGAATAGGTATATTAAAATTATTCTATTACTAAGAACTGAAAAATAGGAACAAAACTGAACACTATAGTTATCATTAGGAAGGTGATAACTTGGAGGAAGTGTTTTGGTGATGTGAAAATGTCACCTTTTTTGTCTGGTATTAATTAGAATGTGTTAATTCTGAAAATCCATCAAGCCCTACACTTACAAATTCTGCATATTTTTAATGTACATTATTCTTTACTTTAAGAAAACTGCTAATATGATACGTAGAATATCTAAGGAAATTCTAGAATGACTTTTGAAAGCCAGGAACTGTAATTTATACATATATGCATATAAGACAGTCATTGTCAGGGGCTTTTTTAGTCCATAAATGAGATGAAAAGAGCACTAATGATAGCAACATTTACTTGTGATGATGGTATGGGAAAGCAGAACCAGGTCCTTCCACATGTGAGGCAATATTCAACTGCTGAGCTACACCCCCAGAAACACCTGGATTTTAGAGTGAGCATATTCAAACCATTAGACAAAGTAATGGGACATTCAAGAAAGAAAATAAAGAGACCACAAAAATAAAGCTGCGCCCCTGATGATGAAGCCTGGCCAGGCCACAGAAGAAGAGGATCCAGGCACTCCTGATGAGACTTAACAAGCTATGGGCTGATGGCAATAGTGGAGAACTCCCCACTTTCTGTGGACTAGGGGAAGGAGATGAGAGAAGGAGGGAGGAAGGGTGGGGCTGGGGGAGTTGAGGGAGGGGCCTCAATCAGAATATATAATGAATAAATTGTGAAAAATAAATAGATAGATAGATAGATAGATAGATAGATAGATAGATAGATAGATAGATAGATAAATAAAGCTTCATGGAATCCTGTAGAACTTGAATGCTGAAATGTAAGGCCTAACAGGACATGACGGTGGATTAAGAAGATAGCAAAAGCTAAACCTTACCATTTGCCTGCAGATTTCATGATTTCCTTGTTTTTAATTGCTGAGTAGTATTCCATTGTGTAAATATACCACAATTTCTGTATCCTTTTCTCTGTTGAGAAACATCTGAGTTGTTTCCAGGTTCTGGATATTACGACTAAAGCTGCTACGAACATGGTTGAACAAATGTCCTTATTGTGTATTTGAGAGTATTTTGGATATATAACTAGGAGTGTTATAGCTGGATCTTGAGGAAGCACTATTCCTAATTGTCTGAGAAAGCACCAGATTGATTTCCAAAGTGGTTGTATAAGTTTACATTCACACCAGCAATGGGGGAGGGTTCCCCTCTCTCCACATCCTCTCCAGCATGTGTTGTCACTTGAGTTTTTGATCTTAGCCATTCTGATGGGTGTAAGGTGAAAACTCAGGGCTGTTTTGATTTGCATCTACCTGATGACTAAGGACATTGAACATCTCTTTAAGTGTCTCTCTGCCATTCTATATTCCTCTACAGAGAATTCTCTGTTTAGCTCTGTACCCCGTTTTTAAATTGGATTGCTTGACTTGTTGCTGTTTAACTTAAGACACACATGGTATGTCATTAGTGCTCTTTTCATCTCATTTATGGACTTATACATGGATACTAGACATATAATATAGGATAAACCTACAAAAATCTGTACAACTAAAGAAGCTGAGCTAGGAGGAGGACCCTGGGTAAGATGATCAATCCTCACTCAGAAAGGCAATCAGGACGGACACTGGAAGGAGAAAACAGGAAACAGGACAGTAGCCTACCGCAGAGGGTCTCTGAAAGACTCTACCCAGCAGTGTAGCAAAGCAGATACTGAGACTCATAACCAAACTTTGGGCAGAGTGCAGGGAATCTTATGAAAGAAGCAGGAGATATCAAGACCTGGAGAGGACAGGAGCTCCACAAGGAGAGCAACAGAACCAAAATATCTGAGCACAGGCGTCTTTTCTGAGACTGATACTCCAACCAAGGACCATTCATGGATATAACCTAGAACCCCTGCTCATATGTAGCCCATGGCAGCTCAGTATCCAAGTGGATTCCCTAGTAAGGGGAACAGGGACTGTCTGACATGAACTCAGTGGCTAGCTCTCTGACCACCTCCCCCTAATGGGGGAGCAGCCTTGCAGGACACAGAGGAGGACAATGCAGCTGGTTCTGATGAGACCGGATAAGCTAGGATCAGATGGAAGGGAAGAAGGACCTCCCCTATTGGTGGACTTGAAGAGGGACTTGGGAGGAGATGAGGGAGGCAGGGTGGGATTGGGAGGGAATGAGGAAGGGGGCTACAGCTAGGATACAAAGTAAATAAACTGTAATTAATATAAAAAATAAAAATTTAATTAAAAAAAAACCCCTAAACCTTAGCAGACCTTACAGACCACGCCAAAATTAACCTGTGAGACTGTAGTTCCCATCATGACTCTACCTCCACTCCATCGTCAAAAGTGCAGTTTCAGAAACCCAACTCAGAAAGACGCATAAAATTGAGTCTTTCAGAAACATGGTACAGGAAGCCACAAGATCACTTTTCAACAGGAAAAAGATTATGATTTACACACTGAGAACACACTCATTATTGGTAATTTGAGACACAGAGTAAGTATGATGGACACCTGAAGTGAGGCGATGGCAACAAACTGTGACACTGACTGTGAAAGGCTACAAAGACATAAGACAGTTACTGAAAAGAAATACTGAGATATATTTTCTTGAAAAATGGGAACCAACTAAACATGTCAGACATGGAAATAGCAATAAAATGGAAGAGGCAGAAAAAGAGGACAGGATAAATGAATAAAGGTCCTGAGAGAGAAAGTGAGGAAGAAGCAAAGGTAGCGGAGCAGGTTTGCATATGCAAAGTAGGGGCAGCCTTACTCTGTGAGGAAAAAAGACATGAGGTCCCATTCCTCCAGCAAATCAAGCTGCTGTTAAATTCCTTCAAAGGCTGAGTTTATAAGTTACTCTCCGACTTGGCAAGCTAAGAATCAAAGTTAAAACTCAAACTGCTGTGTAACTATCAAGAAGAGGTCTCACCAACTGACCTTTTGGTAACCTAATAATAATTTATATACTGTTATCACTTCTGCCTGGATGAACAGCTTTTGAATTCCTTAAAGTCTGTGAAATAACTACGGGGTGAAAATTCAGCCACATTTTGACAAGAGTTCTAAGCAAAATGTCATTTCTCTTACTGTCTTCCCACCAGGCTCTGAATTTAAAGCTGTGAAAGTTTCCATATGCTCAGCCACCATAACATAATACATTGACTGACTGGATTAAACACTAGAAATTTCAGCTGAGCCTGGTGATCCAAATAGGTAATCTCACCTATTCTGGGTACTGAGGCGGGAGGATTACAAGTTCTAGGCATGCCTGAGCAATATACAGAGTAAGTTCAAGTTCATCCTCGGCAGTTTAATGACACCTTGTGTCAAAGAAGAAAGAAAATGGAGGGGTTTGGGATACAGTTGGTGTGCTTGCCTCACTAGTGTGAGGGCTTATGTCAGTCCCAAGCACCATTAAACACACACACACACACACACACACACACACACACAAAAGTGTTCTTACAGTTGTAGAGCACAGAAGTCCAAAATCAAGGTGACAACACAATTGAGTCTAGTGAGGGTTTTTCTCCCTAAAGTCACAGACAGCTGGCACCTTGCTATGTGCTCCCACACCCTTTACTTCCTGGGCACTCGTAGGCAAGGGGCAGGCATTAGCTGTCTAGTGTCTATTTTCTATGTATGCTAATTCTTATGAGTGCCCCATGCTTTTAAGTTTATTTTACTTTAATTGTTTCCATTGGCTTCTTTTTTTCTTTTCTTTTATTTTTTGCATCCCTTTTTAAAAATTTTTTCTTTAATTTTTATTTTTTTTCACAATTTATTCATTATATATCCCGAATGAAGTCCCCTCCCACAACTCCCCCAGTCCCACCCTCCGTCCCTCTGCCTTCCTATCCACTTCCCCCTAGTCCATTGAAAGGCAGAGTTCTCCACTATTGCCATCTGCCCATAGCTTGTTAAGTCTTATCAGGACTGCCTGGATCTTCTTCCTCCGTGGCCTGGCAAGGCTACATCATCAGGGGCGAGTGATCGGGGAGCAGTCAACTGAGTTCATGATAGAGGCAGCCCCTGCTCCCCTCACTCAGAGATCCACATGGAGAATGAGCTGCCAATCAGCCACATCTGAGTCCACTGGCTTATTTCTAAATCAAGCAATACTATATACTTCAGCTTTGACATACAGATGTCTGGGGACAAAGTATTCAGGTTCAGTGTAGCTCTGGGTAGGCACGAAACCAAATGTGGCCCAAGGCGCTTGTATGTTTCTGGTGTTAGCGACTGAGTCCTGGGCTTAGACATGCCATACCTCTAGCTTTCTATTTTAAACAAAGCCTCACAAAATTACCCAGGCTGGCTCTGCGCTTCCTCTGTAGTCCAAGGTGGACTGAATTTGTAATCCCCCTGCCTCAGTCTCCCCAGAAGGTAGGAATTACAGGCCTGCAACACCAGACCCAGGATAAAGCATTTTTTAAATAATTGTTTTGACACCTTTCTGTACTGTCACCACCATACAACTGTCTTTATGTGCTTTAGTTCTCCACTGTGATGACATCAAGATGGATGCCTCGAGAGTAAGAGGTAAAAGGTCGCTGACACTAGACAAGGGGGTGGTACAAAGCACACACACTGCATGGACCCGACCTTATCGTCGCCCCCTACCAGCACTTTACACACACAATCAGTCAAAATGCGGGCGTTTGCTGAATGCAAAGGAGAAAAAAGGAAGAAGAGCAGTAAAGGAAGGACAGCGCAAACGGAGAGCTGCAGTAGGCGACTGAGATATTCCTTACGTGCGGCGTTTCAGTCCTCCAATGGCTGAGCTACTTACTGCTTTGACCATCTCCAGCTTCTCACTGGTGATCTGTTCCGTGTACTTCCTATAGGCTGCCTGCTTAGGGAAGAGCTTCATAATATCGAGAAGCTTCGAGTACAATATTGTCAGCCTCTGGAGAGACAAACCACACATTTCATGAGCTAAAATACCACCAAACGTTAGACAGAACACACTTAGGTATCTCACAGAAAAAAACTAAAAGGGGAGTCACAATTTTAAACTGTGCTTTACTAAATTCATATTTAAGCTTAATCTAACTTTTTTACAACCTAAGGAACAGTGACATACAAATGTGGAATTTTTTCCCTGTATGTGATACATATAAAAATTGTGTGTGTATATCAAAATTATAATAAAAAGCTAAATTAAAATTAACCTAAAATTAAAATACTAATGGCCTTTATGGAAATCAAACTATTTATTAAAGCAGAATTCCTCATCTTTAGGTAATGGGCACCAAAAATTGTACAGAACACATCAGAGATGCCAGGACTGTAGGAAGACCACGAGGAACAGAGGTGGAATGGAGCAGCTGACGTCTATCAAGCTGTTTGTACTGCAGATCACGGAGTATAAGGAAGGGGTCTACTCCAAGTTCTCAAGAGCACAGAAGATGAGTCCATCCCGGATGTCAGACACTGAGCTATTTACACCGTTGGGTTTTAGTCTTGCATTGATCTGGTTCTAACTGTGCCCTGTTCTTCCTTCTTGGAATAGGGAAGTAGGTAACTTGTTTTTGATCTTACAGAAGCCCATAATTAAGACTTTGGATAACATGTGTATGTAATATACATGCACATGCATATGCATGCATGTTTCCATGTGTAAGCATGCAGGTGTGTGTGGATATGTGTGTAGAGAACCCAGAATCTACTTTCATCTCCCCACTTTATTCACTGAGGCAGGGTCTCCTGACTGAACCCAGAGCTAGCAGACAGGACTGGCCTAGCTAGAGCTTACTTTGAAGATCCCACCTTTGCCTTCCAAATGCCGGAATTATAGGTAGCTGCCATGCCCACATAGCATTTATATGGTTTCTGGAGATCTAAACTCTGTATGTTGATTTTTTTTAAAAGAATTTTGAAAGAATGTAATCTGATTTAAACTCTTAATTTTGGCATCCTTTTAATTCTTATCCTCTCAAATTTATGAATATAATACACATATTCACTTTAATATAGAATTTAAGTCTTAATCTGATTCAAATTTTGAGATTTTTAAAAAATAATTGGGGAGGGGGAGCTGGAGAGATGGCACTGTTGCCCTTCCAGAGGACCTGGGTTCTATTCCCAGCATCACAGGGCAGCTTACAATACCTGTAAGCCAGCACCAAGCATACGAGTGGCACGTAGACATAACATACAGGCCAAAAACTCATGCACACAAATATCAAATAAATTCAAAGCACATGTTCTTCATCTTCCGGGATAAAAGGGAGTGCATCTAGTCTTACAGAAATTCAGATGAGAACCAGAATCAGTATAGGACAATGAGTCTATTTAATTTATCATCCAAACTGAGAGACCTCTCAGTGAAAAGGGGCTCTGCTATGCCAGAACACGTGTAAACCACAGCAGTGCTCTCACATGAGACATCCTGAGCATGTCAGCAACACAGGTGGTCCCCACCTCCCAAGAACAGTCCACACCTGCACATGTCAGTAACACAGGCAGTCCCCACCTCCCAAGAACACATTTCCGTTCTTAGTAAGAATGAATTCTCAGTGCTGCCATATGTTGTTTCGATATAATACAGACTGCACATGGATCCTACTCTTTCTATATACAAGAAACAATACGGTAAAAACAGAAGAGGAAAAGATGATCAACACCGTAAAACACAAACAACGTATGGCAGGCCAGGGTCAGACACAGAGCAGAGAGGCAGTACTGACTACACTAAGAGCCAACTATCCAGTCACACAGCTCCACTGCCTAGTTGCCTGGACAAGCTGCTTCTATTTGTAAAATCCATAAAATGTACAGAATACTGTATAGGATGCTGGGTCATGGCAGCACCAGCCAGATACTGTCTCAATGGCAGTATCAGCAGTCTGAAAACAATCACTCCAGCAGCAAACAGAGTGGTTCATAAAAAAGGACGCATCTGAAATAGAGCTTGGGGAAGAACAGGAGTTGGATCCCTGAAGATTTTGGAAGAAGCAATAGACATATAAAGTAATGTACAGCTAAATGGCAAAATCCACCAGGAACAGAAAGGAAGCAGCATACAACTCTACAGCTGTGCTGTGCGCTAAGTAAGCAGCTGCTAGTCAAATATGGCTGCGGAGTGCTTAAAATGCAATTACCTCAGGCTGAGATATGAAGTAAAGAAAATATACTGTAAAAAAGGCTGCAGACTAGCATTAATTTTCATATTGATTCTATACCAAAATTATAGTTATGTCCAATGTTAGGTTAAATCATAAAAAAAAAAATAATTAAAAAAAAAACCCAACCCATTCTTTTCCCTTTGAAACAGGGTCTTACTGTGTAGTTTGGGCAGCCTTCAAACCTGAGACTTTCTTTTCTTAGCCTCCCAACACCTGGGATTACAACCGTGCACCACTTTTAGTTTTTAATATTTAAAAAAAAAAAACAAAAAACAACAAAAATTACATTAAGATGGCTTACACATTTGGAGCTTCTATTGATTTGGATACTAGCTGACCAGAAACCAGTACACAAAGGAAGCCCTTAGGAGATAGTAAGATAAAAAAGTCGGACTGCATATTGATTTTGTATCCCAAGTCAAAGCACTTGGGTCTTTTTGTGCGGAGAACTAAAAGGCTTTAAAAAAATAAATAAACGAAAGTGTGGTCAGGTCTATGTTTAAGGAAAATTAACAGGGTGGCCATGAGTTAAGGGAAGAAAAGAAATAAATAAGGAACCAGTAGTAAAGCTATTGCAATAATTTAAACAAGAACAGGGCTTAAACTGCAGTAGTAAATGAAGGAAGATGAAAGGTCAAACTGGAGACTGTTATAGAGAAAGATCAGCATAATTCATCATTAGAACAAATATGAAAGTAAAGGGTTTTAATATTAACAACAACATCCAAATTTTGAGCTGGGGGGGCTAGAAAGTTTCATATATCATCACGAGAAATACAACCCACAGAGGAAGAATATTTACAAGTAGAAAACTGTGAGTTCCGTCCTCCACAGGCATCAAATACAAACTCACAACGAATGCACTAGTACTGTACTAGTCAGAGTTCTAGAGTGAAAACACAATAAAGTCTTAGCTCTGTGAAGCCTGGGACATACAAGATACATCAGCAGACTGTGGCCTGTTAAACAGTCATCCGGAGAACCCCCCAAAAAGGGCCCTAAAATAAGGCCACAAGAGCATTTCAAAGAAAAAACCGACATACCCAACACATTTCAGCACTTACAAATCAGCTGGAAAAAAAAAAAAAAAAAAAAGCAGGAAAAAGCAGTTACCAAGGAAATTCAGTTATCACAGGAGTGAGGGTAGTGACAGAGGAAAATGGTACTAGCCAAGAAGTGGTGAGATGGGGACAAAATCTGAATATATTCTGAGGGTGGATCCGGAGGCTCTGCTGAAGCAGCAAGATGTGCGATGAGAACAGTATCATTCAAAGGGGAAACCTTACATAGATGTTCAATTTAGCTACCCGTCTGACGTGTAAGTGAAGCTGTTCGCTAAGAGCGTACGTGTGTGTACACCTACATATACCTGTACATATACACTATATATAGGGGTCAGTACCTGACATGGAAATATAAAAATGAGCTGTTGGCAGTGTTCGAAATCACTAGGTTGGCCCCACTCCATGAGCGCAAACCTACACTTAAAAACTGTCTAAGGACTGGGTCCTGAATACCACAGCAGAGGATAAAAGTGGGGGAAACGAGGAACAACTGGGAAAAGCAAAGGATTAGGGGGAAAAAAAAAAACAATAAACGAACGACAAGAAAACGAAAGCGAAGCCAGGAAACGGAGAAGCCCTAACCCAGTAAACGAAGTACTTAACGTCAGCGTATCCAGGGGGTCAAAACCGCTGCTCTTGGGTCAAGCACATGGCACAGAGGGTACGGGCACTTGCCACCCGCCTGAGGAAACGGTTCTGGCTGGGTCTGGCTAAGGCACGTGTAAAGGGTGGTGGGAAGCTGCAGGCCGAGCAAGGGCGGTCTTCCTCAGGGAGGTGCAAGGACGCAGAAAGCAGAACGTACCTCGTGCGGAGTGTCGCACACAGCCAATCCCACCAGGCCAGTGGTCTGTGCGGAAACAAAACGCGACCGAGCTGTGACTGCGCGCAGGAGAAGAGCGAGCCCGCCGCCGCCCCCGGGCCCCCGGCCGCCCCCCGGGACAGAGCCACGGCCCCGGCCCCGGCCCCGGCCGCCCCCGCCCCATCCGCAGCGCCACGGTGACCTCCACTTGCTCACCTTCTTCAGCAAACCCGCCATGACGGCGCCCGCAGCCGGCAGCGCGCGGCCCTCTGGGAGCCTTTGCCAGACGCGCTCAGTCGAACGTCGATGCTGCGGCCCTGTCACCTAGGAAACGATTCGGTCCCAACCTCTCCGGCAGGGCGGGGCCTCACCCCACCCACCTGGAAGGGAAAGATTTGCGCGTGTGCAGCTCCTCCGCCTGGGCACAACCGAGATTGGCTGACCCCGCTGTTAGGGCTAAAGGTTAACAAAAACGCTACACTACGAAAATCCCCCGATGTCGTCGCTGCAGGGACTTTTTTTAAATTATTTTTTTTTAATTTATTACAGTTTATTCACTTTGCACCCCAGCTGTAGCCCCCACCCTCGTCCCCTCCCAAATCCCCTCCCTTCCTCCCTCATCTACCATGTCCCTCACCGAGTCCAGTGATAGGGGAGGTCCTCCTCCCCTTCCATCTGACCCTGGCCTATCAGGACTCATCAGGACTAGCTGCATTGTCTTCCTCTGTGGCCTGACAAGGCTGCTCCCCATCAGGGGGAAGTGATCAAAGAGCCAGCCACTGAATTCATGTCAGAGACAGCCCCTATTCCCCTTACTAGGGTACCCACTTAGATACTGAACTGCCATGGGCTACATCTGTGCAGGGGTTCTAGGTTATCTCCATGCATGGTCCTTGGTTGGAGTATCAGTCTCAGAAAAGAACCCTGTGCCCAAATTTTTTGGTTCCTGTTGCTCTCCTAGTGGAGCTCCTATCCGTTCGAGGTCTTTCTATCTCCCCCTTCTTTCATAAGATTCCCTGCGCTCTGCCCAAAGTTTGGCTATGAGTCTCAGTGTCTCCTTTGATACCCCATTGCAGGGACTTTGATTCTGCTTAGCCTTTGATTGATGTCTTGACTGCATTTCCTCAGCTTATTGAAATGAGGGTGGAAACAGACCTGAGCATCATGAAAAAAAACCTCTCTCCTCCCCATGTGTGAATATGTACTATAAAGTGGAATTAACCACCTTAGGCATCTGTTTGCTCCTAGGAGACTGATAAATATGAAGTCATATTTGTTCCAAGTTAATGAGGTCACAGTTTCTGTTCTCTGTCCCTCCAGATCCTAAGAATGTCTGTCGTTGTTGAGTGTGTTGTAGAATGTGGACTTGTGGCTTTATAAAAGTTGCATGTGTTCTCCGTAACTTTGGATTCAGGTATCTGCTAAAGACAGAATTCAGGAGTTATTTTCTAAAGGCCCTGAGGGCAGACAGACCTGGCTGATCCTGACTATAAGGTACTACAAAACTGGTCACTTCCATATGGTACAAAAATAAGTAGATTTCTGAGCCAACCCTGTGTAGAGGGGCACATTGTGAATGAAGGCTAGGGGTATTCTAAGCTACTGGCAGTAAAATTCACTGTCAAGGGATAAATCCCGTGACATCCGTGACATCAGAAAGGATTGGGAATGTTTTAAGTTTGTAAGGATGGAATATTCTGAGTTCTCAGGTGTTAGAAGCATGCTCTGTGGCCATAGGAGTGAATGTTCCAATCCTGGGAAAGATGGATGTTAGGAGATTTTGTAAATGGTGGAGAGAGATTAGAGGTGAAGGAGCTAAAGCCTCACTCTTGACCCCACATCTTACAGAGTTCAGGCCCAAAAGAAGTTGGAGCCTCCAGTTCTGTTTCTTGGTGATGGAGGATTTTTTTTGTGAGAGGCTCCATCTTATCCAATTTAGGTGGTCAAACCATCTCCCTGGAATCCAGGGTTCTGACTTGACTGAGGGGAAAACTAGGAAAACAACTGAGAGAGAGCGTCTTGATACCCAGGTGATGGTGAAATCATTTCTGAAGACCAGCCCAAGGGGACAGCTCTTCCTTTGGCATATCTAGCTTATCTTTTATAGCATGTAGCAACAGAGATAATAATGCCAAGCCAGCTGGATTGCATCCCTCTCAGAAAGAAAGAAAGAAAGAAAGAAGGAAAGAGAGAGAGAAAGAAAGAAAGAAAGGAAGGAAGGAAGGAAGGAAGGAAGGAAGGAAGACCCTGTTTAAGTGAGTCATCAAAGTAGAATGGCTTAACAAAACCCCAGCCATTTGGAGATTATCTCTTATACCGGTTGTCCAGAAACAGGCTTGTTTCCAATTATTTGCACTTTTCCCAGAGTTTTTCAAAGTTGTTAGATACACTCCTAGAAAGTGAGAAGATGGTAGCATCTAATACTCTGATCATGGTTGAAATTAAGTTAAATACTGAGATTAAATATATCTTCTGTTGGAAATAGAGGAGAAAACCCAATGGGGAACCAAATAATAAAGATTTCCTCAACCTGCTCTGGAAGGTGTCTCCCTTCACTTCTGCATACCTCATTTAGAAATAAGAAAGAACAGTATAAAAGAGAAGGAAATTGCCGGTTGTGGTGGCGCACACCGGTAGGATTTGCTGCAGGAGGCAGAGGCAGGAGGATCACGTGTTTGAGGCCAGCCTGGGCTACATAGTTTTGAGAGAGAGAGAGAGAGAGAGAGAGAGAGAGAGAGAGAGAGAAGGAAACCAAGCATGCTCAATGTAAATGATAAGAATGTACTAATAGATAGTATAGAAAGCCATGGTTGTTTAAAAAAATTAATACTTTAGCACTTATAAATAAAACCAAACTTTGGGCAAAGTGCAGGGAATCTTATGTAAGAAGGGGGAGATAGAAAGACCTGGACCAGATAGGAACTCCACAAGAAGAGCAACAGAACCAAAAAATTTGGACACAGGGGTCTTTTATGAGACTGATACTCCAACCAAGGACTATGCATGGAGATAACGTAGAACCCCAGCACAGATGTAGCCATCCATGGCAGCTCAGTGGGTACCCTAGTAAGGGGAACAGGGACTGTCTCTGACATGAACTCAGTGGCTGGCTCTTTGATCACTTCCCCCTGAGGGAGGAGCAGCCTTACCAGGCCACAGAGGAAGACAATGCAGCCAGTCCTGATGAGACCTGATAGGCTAAGGTCAGATGGAAGGGGAGGAGGACCCCTCCTATCAGTGCACTTGGAGAGGAGATGAGGAGGCAGAGTAGGATTGGAGGGGAATGAGGAAAGGGGCTACAGCTGGGGTGCAAAGTGAAAAAACTGTAATTAATATTTAAAAATAAAATTAAAAATTTAAATTACATTTTAAAATAAATAAATAAAACCATAAAGTTAGGCATACGGAATAATGTTTAAATATGGCAAAAAGTAAAAATATTTCCTACATGTTAATACTTCATATTTGACTAATTTCCTTCATCTGACTACAAACGAAGCGAAGTAGACAAGACTAAATGGAGACAGAATAACTAATATATAGAAGGGAGTTCACAAATGAGTTTAAACGTGATCAGACAGTATAAGATGAAACTAACAATTCACTGAGCTGTAGTACTGATTGTTTCTTCTGTGACAGAGACCCATATGTATAGGGACAGTAGGCCTCTGACATGAGTGAGGGAGTTGGGTCTCAGTCGCCAACAGGCTTTGCAGTGGCTAGGCAAGGAAAAAACACCTAACCAAAGGAATGAGTAAAATCGTCCAGTGTGACCATTCTCAAAGGGAATGAACAGTGTGCAGCACGTCTCTGAGGAGGTGATAATTATGTGAAGAGACGAGGAGGTGAGTGAGGAAAAAGGATGCTGCAGCCAGAAGGAACAGTCAGAGGACAAGTGCTGAGGACAGACTGAGGACAGAAAGTCCTGTTCCCTGGGCAGCATCAAGGCCAACATCATTTGACCAAGGCACCTTCTGGAGAAACATAAACCTTCAGCTGTCAGACTGCTCCAACTAACCCAAACTCTCCCACGTTTAACTTGAGCCAAGCCTATGTCTTTGGAAAATTTCCGCTAGGAGAAAAGCAAACAGTAACAAAAATGTCATGTTTACCAAGAGCACTGGTCAAGACATTTAAAGAGCAGTATGATGGGGTAACAAAGGAAAGAATTTAAACTGTAACGCCCGCTTTAGGGACTGATATCCATGTCACCAGGGACAGGGCACGGACAAGAACATCTGCATTAACTACTGGGGGAAAGAAAAATTCAGAACCTCCCTAATCCTGCCTAAAACTATGAAAGCTTTTACAATGGCCAGGGAGGAATTGCCATACTGGTCTGAATGTTTTGAAGGCCTGGGTAAATATTTTTATCAGATGCTGCCTGCCCTACCCCCACTCCTGCCCACTTGCTGCCTTAAAATTTCATAGTTGACATAGCTTTAGGCCCTAAAATATTTTTGCAGTATAAGATATTATACAACACAGAATGTGTAACTCATAACACATTAAGAAATAGTCTTAGGAGTCTTTATATTTAAGCAACTTGCCCTTTCTCTACTACAGTGTTATCCTACGATGCAGAAATAATTGGCACATCCTACACTGCCTCTTCCTTTCCCAGTTAATTTGTAAGACATACAGCTTTGTGACCAGCAGGTGGCAATAGAAGTTAATGACAAGCTTACATCACTTAAGGTAATGGAGGATTTTGCTGTGTTTGATGTGTGTGTTTGCTGTGTGTTTGTGTGTGTGTGTGTGTGCACACGTGCACTGTGTGTGAGTTCATTTATGTGTTTTGGAAGATTCATTTGAGATAAAATACAATCAGTACAGCATAAAAGGATCTGAACCAAAAAAATCTCAGCATCATGTTGACAGTGGGGGAAAAAAGTGTATCCCAAGATAGAGGGAACTCAGAGTCCACCTGCCATTCAAACAGTCAGAGCTAGTAACAGTAAATAACCAAAGAAGTCTCGGTCATGTGGCCTTATATGATCCTTAAGTATGTTATATGATACTAAGTCTGTGTGACAGTGACTTAAGGAGCTGGAGAAATAAGGGAATAAAGGCGCCAGCATGTCGCCAGCGCCTGGAAGGAGACTGGGACTGAGAAGGGTGTATATGATTAGAATGAAATCCAGCTGAGCAGGAGGTGTGACAGGAATGTTCACTGAAGCTCAACTACAACGAATGGGGTAGATGAAGAGATTTAAGTGGAATTTCCATCATATCTTAAGAGCCTGGCATAGCTGTCATGGCTGTGGGGAGCTGGCGGAGAGGCTCTGAAAGAAACTTTGGGAGGCAAGCACTCCAAACCAAACTGGTTGCCTGGGAAGTTATAAGAAAAAAAGATGCAGGA